AAAAAGAAAGGGAAAAAAGAAAAAGAAAAAGAAAAAAAAAAAAAAAAAGAAAAAAAAAAACGCCATCACCGCGGCCCCGGAAACAGGTTATTAATGTTTCTTTCTCTTCTGGACCAAAAAGGGTGGAAACCGAATAGGAAATTCATAAATAATACACGTAAGAAAGGTCTTCGCTGATGCCACGCCTAGGTAGAAGAAATCAATCTATTTGGCATGGTCGATCAGTTCGGCATAGAGTGGTTCGGGGATCTTCCGGACGATCAGGACAGTTAAGGCGATGATTTCTTTGGCGTCGAGAGGTGGGAAGGACCGGAGGATCTTGTTCGGACTGGAGTGATATGTCAGATGGGCTAGATTTGGGTGGCAATATGTGTGATGGGTCTGGATTTTTGGGCGCAGCTTTCTTGTTTCTTGTTTTCTTGTTTTTTATTTTTGTTTTTTATTTTTGGTTTTTTATTGTTTTTCTGTTTTTGCTTCTTTTGTTTGCTAGGCATGGGAGAGACGTAACGTACCTTGGGCTTTCGAGGATAGTATCTCTCATTCGGATAAGTTGGGCAACAATGCAAAGGATGTTTAGATGTGGGCCGTACGCGAATAGGAAGTCCCAGAGATGGAGGACCTCAGGCAAAGGTGGTGTACAGGCGCACATGGTTAATACGGATGGGAAAGCGTAGAGTTCTGCCTGCATACCCTTTGAGAAGAGGTAGGAGGCGAGCTTGGGTTCGACGATCTCCAGGCAACGGTCCACTAGACGGAGACCGCGATGGACCCCGTCCATGGCGCCGCGGATATAGCCCGGACATTCGCGGGTGATGAACGAGTGGAACAAGGCGAAGGCCTCCACCTCACTGCGCGCGGCGTAGAGGAACGGGGCACAGAGGACGTTCATGCCTTGTACGTAGATCGCCGAGTCGCTGGTGATGGTGCTACTGCGGCTGTTGCTCGATGTTGTCACTTCCGGGCTTGATCCTTCCTCTGCGATGCTAGGGGGGGTGTTGATGAGAAGCTCCATCTCCCGTCGGCGGGAGGTTGACGACCGAGGTTTTCTGGCCTTGTTCTTGTTCTTTGCGTCATGAATTGTCCAGGCTACTGCGTTGAGGAGTCGGATTAGGCTTGCTTCTGTGACACGGCGTTTGAATAAAGGGTCGGTGGCTAGCGTGCGGAAGGTGTCGTTGCGGATTTTTGTATAAGCTGGTGAGCGGCCGCGGTGGATGAGAGAGAGATATTCATCTGTTGGCACGGGGGGTATATCCAGAAGTGCTAGCCATAGGTACACTCGATACGACGACTGGGTTTAGGGTTAGTAGCTGTTCAAGCTCCCAGGCGACAGAAAACATACCATGCCGTCAGCATCCGCTTCTACCCTCGTGGACAAAATCAAGTATCTCAGCTCTTGTAGACCCTCGCGGACATTTCCCTGCTGTGGTCCATCTCGTAACAATGTCTCCAAGACCGATCTCTTTATGCCAAACCCCGAGCCAGTTTTCCTTCCTGATCGTCGCTGGGTTCCGATGGCAGGAGGCTCGCGGGTTGAGGCATCGCTATTCGATCGAGCTCGACGATGCGTGCGCAGGCGTAGCGGCGAATCCAGCTGAGTTGGCTGAGAAAGCTCCTCAGGTCCAGCGGAACTACGGGCGCTTGAGGGTTGAGAAAGCTGAGAGGACGAAAGAAGTTGATGGGACTGGATTTTGCGCAGACTTCGCATTGTTCGCGGCGATGGTGAACCCGCCAAAGCGGCCAGGTTGAGTTGGGCCTGAGTGGGTTGGGAGGCCATGTTGGGTTGCTGTCGATCTTGTCGTTTTGTCGGGTCGGCGAAATTCATAGCTTGTCGCAGGTCCTAAGCATCTTTATTGCTGCTTGGTCCTGGATTGATGAAGACGAACCACCAAGTCAAAACGGACCAGGGGGAGGGTCCATGAATAAAAAAAAAAAAAAAAACCCCCTAAGAGATCTTTTACTAGTATGTTTTCGAAGATCTTTTCTTTTTTTTTTCTTTTTTTTCTTCCTTTTTGACGGGGGCAAGGTGGAATGCGGGGACACGCGACGCGCTGCAAGCAATAATTTAAAATGAATGGAATTATTTTATTAAGTTACTTTTCCCGGAGTTTGGTTCAGTTGCTATGGTGTTTGAGTGGACCTTCCATCAAATAGTCCCGCAACTATACAACCACTTGGACCTGACTCGTCCAACCTATAAAATGAAACAAAAAAAAAAAAAATATAACAAAAAAAAATAATAATATAAAATCAACTAGTAGCAACTAAAATAGTTTCGTATACCTATATATCTTGGTACCAACAGGATCGTATTAATTTGCCACTCTGAGACGTCTCTTGTAGCACCTCGTCGCGTCATATCCAAGGTCGTCCCACCTAAAAAAGTACTAGAAATAGATGGATACATGTGGAATAAAGCTTCCAGAGCTATATGTAAACAATGGTCATCAAGTCCCGATAACGCCAGAACCCACTCATTGAACGGTAAATCCAAGCGTCAAGCTTCCTGCCGTCCATTTGCTTGCCCATTCTGGGTCCCTCCCAGGACCCCATCGACAAAGTCCGGGTATCTAAATACCTCCCCTCGCTTTGCTCCTCCAGGACCCTTACTGCTCTTTCCCCCAAAAGCCCTGCGCCCGGTAAACCCATCCAGAACTTCATTGATCTCTCGTTCGCTGAGCGGAAGCTCTCCGTCTTCCGGAGCCGTGTGCAAAAGAGCGTCGCGAAGTTCCCCCACGTTGATCTGACCGCTGTCGTCTTCATCAAAAGCGGCCAACGCATTCACTAGCTCTTGGCGCGAAGATAACGGAGCGAGTAGGTTGGACAAGATGTTCAAGAATGTAGGGAAGTTGATGGTTTCAGGGCTTCCCGGGGGGAAGAAGTCGGATAACATAGACGGATCTTGACCTATTCACCACAGTAAGCTTTGTGCTTCCATACCTAGTGTTTCATGTCTTAACAAGGTTTTCTCAACAACATACCGACATTCACAAGCACGTCTGCGACATCATCCTTGTTCACCGATCCGTCATTATCCCGGTCAAGAACCTGGAAAGCCTCTCGAATTTCTCGGAGTTGCGCCGGCGCTAGTTTTGAAGCTGCATCAGACGATCCTGCCGTCATGCCCATCGCCCGGGCACCCACTCTCGGTGACCTATCGGGTGAATCGGCCCCTCTGGTCGGCGATGCGGATGGCGACTCTCTAGAAAATCGGGGTTGCGGAATTCGCTCTCTGCTAGTTGGTGACGCATCTTCGTGCTCAACGGTATATGATTGATTTAGTTTGCTTGGAGACACTACCGGCGTGTATCCTCGGCTCGGTGAACTCCCCGGTGTGGTAGGGCGAATCCCTGTAGGCGGAGAGTTTGGCGTAGAGGGCCGACGGAAAGGAGAAGCTCGAGGAGAGCCGAACGATAACGGCGACGGTTTAAAGGGAGTATTCGAGGTGACCTAGGCGCATCATGGTGAGCTTGGCAATGGGGAAATTGTGGGGGAGAAAACACATTATCCGTACCATGATGCAGGTACCCCCGGGGGTGGATGATGAGGATAATTTGCAAAGGATATGTATGTACTATCGAATCCAACCACCAGTAGTGTCGAGAGAGGAGTGCAGTAGATAGTAGCGACCGTTGCGACAGGCGCGGGGGAGTATTTCAACTGTCGGTGGCGGCGGTAGGATTTATCAGAGATTCAATTGATATCGAATCGAACGATAACTGGAATGCTAAATAAGTTTCCCAGAAGGGTAAAGCAGCCAAACAATGCTGAAGCAAACAAACACTTCGGCATCAAGTCGGGCCGACCGATCAATGGGCACGTGCGGGGAGCTTAATCCGGAGTAGAAGCAAGCATGGAGGCATTCCTGGAAAATTAAAAGTGAGACCCGAGTCAGTTTTGACAGTTCAGACAGCAATTGACATGCATCCCGTAATGACTATTTAAATCCAGTCTGCCTGCAATTGAGTCTACGATCATGGCGATTGTGGTGTTTCCGTGGAATTTCCCCGCTGTGGATCTTCAAATCTAAGGCTTCTTTTTATCCAAACTCCCCCTTTCCCCCCCTGAATCGGACGAATTACATGGTCGATCAATCAACTAATCTTCCGACGGGATCTTTTCAGCGTGGCGAACACTGCCTTATCTGAACCATGACAGCTTGACTTACAGGTCGCAGACGGTCTCTTTGGAGTAATTGATCCAGTCGTGGTTGATCAATTAATTCCAAGGAGCATGCGGTTATTTCTTTGTTGCTCGTCTCCATTGCGCCTTGGCCACCAGAAACGCCCCGTTGATTTGCCCACGATTTAATCCGAAACATTCCTCCCAAATTTTTGTCTCCTGAATAGGAAAATGAGCCTCACACTCCCTCATCGACCATCCGATGACGCTGCTCGTTCGCTTCCGACGTCCAGTTCTTCCAAAAGCAATGGCATACCCCGGTTATCTCCCTCCCCGTCATTTGTTCACAACCGATCCGTGAGCAACTCCGGTATCTCCGTGCGTGGTTATGAGCCGAACCTCGCCGCTCCCCCTGCATTTAGACCGCGAAAATGTAAATCGCAATACCCTCGTGATTCATCAGAGCGCCATGTCGAATACATCCTCGTTGCCTCCTTCCACATTGACCGGGGCCCCATCATGGAACACCAATACCCCGCCCCTATCAGTGGTGACGAAAGCATGTTGGCCGAGCTGATGCTTCCGGATCAAACTCACGTCCGAAGCCAGGATTGGACAATCTTTTTCTTGCACAAGGACTCAAATGCCGACCAGGATGATGACGACTCATTCGGGGCAAAGAAGAAAAAGAAGAAGACGAAGACGAAGAAGTTTAGAGCATCCCATGACGGCGATGGGGCCGCTGGCAGTGAAGAGGACCAAGATGGGTCTGGCAAGGAAGAGGAGAGCAGTGATGACGAAGATGAGGGTGGCGAGGGACCACCGTTGATGTATGTTCTGAATCTTGTAAATACAAAACAAGACCATACAGTCAAAAGGTATGTCTCTTGGTCCTTTCTCGGCGCGCAACGCGACTAAACGAATCAAAGAGGTGCGGTTGTGAAGGCCATGGCTATATGTACACGCCACTCATTCCTCCATATCTATAAGGTAGGCCACTGTCTGACAAGACGCCGGATCTTGTGAACTAACACGGCAATAGCCCTTACTTCTTCTAGCCTTAGAAGACTATTTTAAGAACCCTTATCTGGAAACGCTAGCCTTGTTGTACAATGCTTTGAATGCCATGGATCTTTCTCTGCTCCCCAAGCTGTCCCTTTTAGAGCGACAGATATTGCAGGCTAGCAACTGCAAGGATATGTTTATCGAAAAGTTCGAGCAGATGATCCGCCAGCGAATTGAGGAGGAAGGAGAGTCATCCGACCCGGACTCCCCTGCTTCACCCAAGAAGCAGGCACCTAAGTACACGCTTCCTCGAGATACTCATGAGTTTGAGTCTAGGATTGTTTATAATGATATCCCTATTCCTGTCAAGGTACCCACGGTGATCTGGCCTGAGGTTGTGGGGGATTTTTCTCTCATCAAGCTCATCCAAACCTTCTCCGGTCCCCATAGTGCATCCCCCCAGCCCTTTCCAATCCACCCTCACCTTACCACCAGCGGTCCCTATACCCATCCCATCATAATTCTTGTCAACGCGATGTTAACCCAAAAACGTGTGGTGTTTCTGGGTCATAATCGCCCTTCAGGAGAGGTTGCAGAGGCAGTGCTTGCTGCTTGCGCACTCGCGTCAGGTGGGATTCTGCGTGGATTCACCAGACATGCGTTCCCTTACACGGATCTGACCAAAATTGATGATCTCCTGAAGGTTCCCGGCTTCATTGCCGGTGTGACCAATCCTACGTTTGCTAATCATCCCGAGTGGTGGGATGTGCTCTGTGATCTTCCTACGGGCAGAATCAAAATCAGCAGTCATGTTGAGCCTGCACCGATCACAGAAGGACTCTTGTATTTTCAGCAACAAGCCTCGTTGAACCATCTCCACTCCTCGAACCTGAACTCTGATCCTACAGGAGACAATCTATTTATGGAAGATGTTCAGCGCAGCATTACCAACCGCCACGGCGAGAATGCTATCCGAGCCAAATGGCGTGCCTACATCTTGAAGTTCGCACGCGTCGCTTCCGCCTTCGAGGAAACAGTGTATGGCGCCTCGAATCTCTATATCATAGGCCCCAATGAAGAGCTGTCCCCGGAAAGCCCCAGCGGGGTTCAAGCGGACCCATTAGACCCTACGACACTGCGAGGACATGGCCACGTCTGGCCTGACGAGTTATCGAAACAACGCGAATTGATGGCATCGGTCTCCCGAATCGAAGGATGGCGGACAACACGCTCGTATTACTCTTTCATCCAAGATATCGCAGCCATATATTATCCTACGCGGCCGATTATTAAGCCAGACCTTCACCACCACCATGAACGGCTCCGGACCCTAAAACTATCTTCGCCTGAAGCGGGGGCTATTTACATCGCCTTCTCTTATGCTGTCAAAGACTACGCTGGCATTTGCCAGCTCCTAACGGTCACGCCGGAAAACCAAGCCGGCCTCTTTTACCTGGGCATGGGACTCTTCCACCCTGATCAGACGGTCCGCGAGGCGACGGTGGACCTTTTGGAGCGGATCAGCAAACATCCTGCTGGCCAACACTTTTGGAATCAACTTAACCGGTTCGCAAAATTGGCCTTTTTCCGAGTAAAGCGTGAGCGAGACGCATCGCAGAGTCCCATCTCCGGACCGGAATCGGGATTCGGAGCACCCCAGAGTCTGGTTGGGGTGGCGATGGGTGACGGGCCACGGTGAAACTCGTTGGCTATATCTTCGGATACACGACTGATGAGGTAGCTGGGTCTCGTGCCTCACCCTTGCTCCTTAGTCTCTTATATGCCTCCTTGGATCGTTTCGCTTGACTGCTTAACCACTTATACCCAAGATACCAGAAAATCTACCAAGATACATCATGATTATGACCGTTCTATATAGCCCCTACTTCTTCTTGTCATTTATTGGATATGTTTCATTCGTTTGTTTTGGATATACCTCTTGACGAGCCCCAAGGCACATATCATTAGCATTTGACGAAGGGTTGTGATGATATTTGATGTCTTACGTTTGATTTCGTGTTGATATTAATACATAAATATTACACCTTCAAGTCATACGGTTCAATACACATATCGGAGTGTAGACTGAAGAAATGATATGTAATGATTGTAAGGGGTTCAAAATAAAACCGATTAAATACAAGTATAAACATTAAGAAAGAAGATATCCAACCAAGCGGGAATAAAAGAAAGAAGCAACCGCAGTCATAACCCATAACCGTGACCTGAACGAGAGTCCGAAGTAAAAGAAAAA